AAGTCATAAGCGTGCGACACCACAGACAGTAGCGAAATATTTACAAGCTGCAAATTTCTCACTCGAGCGATGAGCGTAATTGTTGTAATTAACATTCACAACCGCATAAATAAATATTAGCCACCCAACAGCCAGCTGCCGAGAAATTAAAAAGCCTAGCATTCGCCAAAAGCCAACAGCGTGTCATTACCTGCTGCACTCGCTATTTAATGAAAGAACTATTGGGCTTTAGGACGCTTACGCTGTTGCAGCATATCGGTGAAGCAACATGAATCCTTTCAGTAGCTGGTTTGTATGCCCTACGATGTGGTGACTTTATTATTGTCACTGCACTTATTTGAGATGGGAGGGGGGACCCAGAAAACACTTGCCGTACAAACCTTAAAACAAGACCTCGGTACTCCTTTGACCAATAACTTTTTGCCATTTTTAAGACAATTTCATTATGCCTCTCTCATAGAAGCCACCGCTTCACAAAATTGAGACAGTCGATTTTCACAAGCCTCTCTAAAAAGGAATTTTTCACCAGCCAAATTATTCGCTATGAACCGAAACAGTTGGTAATCGTTTGTTGCGAGGTCCGATTCATAAGGTGGATGCATAAGAACCTCCCAGCCAATATCCTCGATCTTCTGGCGAGTCACCAGCTCCGAGTTAGAGTAGTAGATAGTTCCCTGCCATTCACACCAAACGCACAGCAAACCCTTAATGGTCGTTAATCCTGGCTTGACCACCGTTCCCGCCGGCTCATCGCCTTTGAACCACGACCGGTTTCGCTTGACTTTGTCCTAAGTTATCAACTTTTCATCAACAGTCACGATACGCTTCCAAAATGTGTCGATTTTGTTTCAAATCAGCAACGATTCGCAAGTAGAAATTCGGCCCATAAGCGTTTTTTTGCATTAACTCGTGTGGCACCCATACATCGAGCTTCTTCTCGTATCCAGCCTTATTCAAATGGTTCCAAACGGCTTTTTGTGCAAACTTTAAGTCTTCCGAGATTTTCGACAATTGGATTTCTCATGCGTGGTGCATCTTTGGCGTCGAAATTACCGGAAAGAAATCAACGAAGCCAAAATTGCGGGATTGGCTGTCGGACCTTGAACGCTCAGTTCGCTCAGAATTTGTTTAATCTTTCTACTTATTACTTGATGATCTTTTAATTACTCTTGGGGGTTATCTTCTAAGCAGAAGCAATCAATATTGAATGCCGTTTTTCTCGGGCGGCAGAAGTAAGAAACAAATTGCTAGATGCTTCTTATACAATATAAATATAATATATTAGAAGGATTTGACGTTTTCTAATTAAATTTAAGTCCCTAGCCGTAGGGATATTGCAGGGAATAGTGAGGCAGGTCAGAAAGAGAACAATATTAATTATATGTTAAGTGGCTGAGTGAAACCAAGAGAAATATAATCAGACAAATCTGGCCATTTTTCGAAGTCAACAGAATTATGTCTCTGCTCTTCTAAATAACACTCCTTCCTTAAGCATTAGAATCGACAAAACCCGCACGGCACTAACCACCTCTTCACATGCGCCCTTAAACAGACTCATCTAACTCCCTTCTCCCTTTGGTCCAATCCCGTCGAACAGCACGTTTCGGCGACTTAGATTGATCAAAGCTGGACATAAGGGGGGTTAGCGAATAGCTGCAACAACAAAAAAAAAACCGTAGGACTGATGTTCAAAGGATTTCGCTGCTCCTTAAACGACAATTTTTGCGCTGCTGCAAAAATAGAGATGAGGACAAATCGACGGAGCTTTACCTCTGCCACTGTCCGACTCTCAATGCGGTCTGCCACTTTTTGTTTCGGAAATTCTTCTTCAATTGCCTTGCAGTGGTTTGATTTAAAATTTTTGGTATATGTACATAGATATAGTTATTTCGGTCAGCTCATCATTTTCATGAAATCGGCTTAAATTTTAGTTGATCAATCACTTACTTTTCTGATACTTTCCAAAGATGCAACCATTACGAAAGGCATATTCTCGATGAAGTCCACTTTCAGAAGTCGGAAAGAATTCATTGTAAATAATACATAATTATTTTTGGCGTTTAAATATTTAAAAAATATTAAAAATTTAAATTTTTCGACGAAAAATGGTAAACTTTTTTAGAGAAGGGAGTATCGCCAAAAAAACAACGTTTTTCAAGATTTTCGTTTTATTTGGAAAGAAAGGCAATACAAATATAATGTTTTGATATCTTATTATTTTTGTATTCAAAAATAAAAAAAATTTAATTTTGATAAAAAAAAATGTTTATAATGGGATAACTATAGATATTTTTTTAGAGATTTTTCTTTTAGAAGCTCTGCGACTTGCAGCATACAGGGCACAAAATATTGGGTTGCCCCAAAAGTAACCGGCGATTTTTTAAAAGACAGTAAAAATTTTTTTTTAAATTTTAAAATGAATTTTTAATCAATTTCGTAATTTCACTTTTGGCGGCCATCTTTTCGGCAACATAATTATTCTACGCTCAAAAACTGCCTTTATCTGCAAAAAAACTGAACCAAGTGCGAGTGCGATGGTCTCGTCACTTACGAAAGTTTTACCATTTAATTAGTTCTGCAAAGATCGACGGTGCAAAGTCACGGCTATATGGCGGATGCATCAAAAGTGCCCAGCTCTCTAAGTTTTTGGCGAGTGAACAAAGATATGTGAGGTCTAGCCTGGTACTGGTGGAAAATGACACCTTTACGATTGACCAATTCTGGCAACTTTTCGTTGATGGTTTTATTCAATTTGTCCAGTTGGTTCACAGTAGACATCCGAATTAATCGTTGGGTTAGTTGAAATCAGCTCGAAATATACAACAAACCTTCTAATTCCAATTTTCGTTATGGATATTTTAGATTGAGTTTAATGTAAACAATCCATTTTTCAATTCCAGCTATGATTTTCTTCACTGATGGATCATATTTATTACGTTTAAAATGCATATAAAAAGCATTGATCATCACTAGGCTGACCTGAACATGGCTTTTCTTTAAGTGAAAAATCTCCCGTAATTCGACAAACCAAGTTCCATACTGTGTTTCTTTGAAGGCCTTATCACCTTAAAAATTATGCAAATTTTTAAGAATTTTTTTAGCAATCTCCGCTGCATTTTTTCCTTTAAGGAAATAATAAAGTAAAATGTGGCAAACATGTTCTTTTGTGGGCTCCATATTAAAATTAACGCCAAATAAGCAAATACAAACAAAATTACTTTTTTTCTAAAGCAAGCTAAAAGTGATAGCTTATAACTGTCAGAGAAAAAATGCAATTAAATAGTCACAAGCTGTTCTTTTGGAGCAACCCAATAGAATCTGCAAATAAAATAATTTTTTTTTTTTGTAATTGTTTTTGCGGCTGATATTAATTTTGTTATGAGTTTTAGTAAGCGAAAGCCCTGGGTTGTTTGTTTGAATGGGATATTTTTTGTTATAAATACAACAAAGAAAAAGGGTAGAAGTGACAGTGACAGTGAATAGCAAGGGAATGACGTTAGGATTTTAAAAATATTGATTTTTGTAAAATTTCTTTGAAATAATATTAAAAAAGTGTAAGAAAAAAGCCAATTGAAAAAATATTTAAAATTGTTTGAGTTATGGTCCGAGGCAACTTCAAAAAAATTGATTCGATAAAAATGCATTTAAAGTTTTGAGCCCGGTGTGCTCGGCAAAAGAGGAAGTAATTTCAATGAAATCCATGTTGCACACGTATAAGACCTTTTGTTATTTATTTAAGAAGGTTCAAAGAATATTTTTAGCCAATAAAAACATTTATTTGTAGCATTTAAATTATTGTATCATGAGTGAAACATTGTCTGAAATTTTTGAGAGTTTCTAGCTTTCTTTACTATAAGAAACTGCGGGGAATTTCGCTTAAAATTTAAGTATTTTTCACTAGATTTATCATCAATTTTATGCCCAACCGAAGAAGTGAGTATCTATAGAATGAGAGAAAAAAACAGGTTTCTGCTAGGGGAAAAATTAGGCAAAAATCACGTCATATATTTCATATATTTCTCTACATCTGACAATATCCAAAAAGTTTTCTTCTTTTAATGAAACGTTGGACTCGTTGTACTTTTATGTACGGGGCCTGTTTTCCATGCTGAACTCTTTATTTACTTTCATAGATCTATCAAAATGATGGTAATTCATTTTAAGACTAAATATTAAGTCTCATAACTGAAAACTCAGTAGGAGGAGCTCTATGATGAACTTTTCCGATTTCGATGATTTTTGATGTCAATATTGTATATTTGGTTAGATTACCATAATTCTGGTTTTTTGACGAACTTCTGACCAAAGCCTCATTTCTGATTAGATCGGTGTATGGGAGCTATATCTTACTGTCGTCCGGTTTCCAACATTTTCATTGTTAATGGGCAATTTATTAACTATATGTATGTAGAATGCCAAATTTCATTCTCTTAGATGCTTTTTTGACGGATTTATGACCGAAACTCTCAAATCTGAAATATCAGCCCGGCAACTCTCACTACACCACCGTTGCCAACATGTCGAAAATAAAATTCCTCCTGCCGAGAGAGCTTCAGTACAATTACTTTCTGAGACAAATGTTTACATCTGTGTGGACGGACAGACGGTCTCACAGGCTGCCAGACGGACATGACTAAATCAACTCAGTTCATCCGTCTGCTCTTATTGGTATACATTTTGAGGGGTCTAACTCTTTTGCTTCTGATAGTGTTCGAGCTTATATAATTGACGCTCTGTAACCGCTGAAACGATTTTTGAGCAAGCTCGTCCTACAATTTGTAGTGTTCGCTTTGCCTCCTTAACAGTCTGGCGAAAACAAACTAAAGACGCGATATGAGAAACTTTGTATACATATTCAAAGTGAGATAATATTTGAGAGATTTACGGAGACTCGTTTGTTACGTTTATGCTTTTAATTCCATGTGAATTTCATGTCTTATATTTCACAGTTATGTTATGTCGTACATAATCATTAATCATCTATTATCACTTTCTTCCAGATGTTTAGCTCAAAATCAGTTTGCCTTCAAAACTCATCGTCAGTTCATGTTTACCTTGAATGTGTTGGAAGATCTTACGACAACAGATCCTAATGAACTTTTACCCAGTTTGCAGAATTCAACGCTTTACGTGGCAACAGGCGCCAATTGCCAATTACGATGTTACCATCAAATGGATGGTGGGCCACTCATAGAGTGGTGGTATCGCAGTGGATTGAATGGGATGCCACTGAAGATCAGCAATCATAGTAATGAATATATTATAGAGCAAGCTAGCCAAGAGGCAAATCAAGGTTACTACAGCTGCAGCAGTGGGAGAAGTAATCAGGTGATTGTTCAAGAAAAAAAAAAAACACATTAAATACCTCGAGCAACTCTTCTAAAATTTTTTTCGTCCAAACAGACTTTTCATGTCATCGTTACCTCACCACCGGTGATAGTTGAGCCACTCGTCTCGTACGAGACACTGATAACCGCATCGTTGCAATTTCGTTGTAGCGCCACCGGCAATCCCCAGCCGGTGATTAGCTGGTATCACAATGGGGTTCCTCTCAATAGTTCCTATACGCGCTACATCATTGGCAACGAATTGCACATCCATTCGTTCGATCCGATTGAGGCGGGCATTTATCAATGTTTTGCGCGTAATATAGCCGGCGAGGTGTACAGTGCAGGCGAGTTGCGATTTCGCAATAAAAATGATGAGCTACTGCTGAAGAATCCGCTGCAGAATATACGCTGTTATGCGCTGAGCTTTAATACGATCAATGTGACGTTTGAGAGTAACTTTTTTGAGGTAAACTTGCTGGTCATAAACTGAAACCTTCCGAAAACTATTTCAATTTTTTTTATATTTTTTTTTTATATTTTTTTCAATTTACGCACAGTCGCTCTTCATCGTGCATATTGTACAAAATAATCCGCATCGTTGGATCTCACCATTCGCCCCAATGAAACTAAATCATACCTCACATTTGGTCATATCAAGCCACCTCCCCGTTTACCGTCCATTCGAGCTGATTACACGCGTACTGGTGCCCACCTCGGAGATACGCTTGGCCAATAAGCCGCAACAACAGACGATACTCAGCTCGTTACGCAGCCCTCCGGTGACATGTTGCACACAAGGCTGTGAGTTATTGGCATTCAGGGCAAATGTTCACTAAAATTTAATAAGAAATAATAATAATAATTTTACATTATTCTTCTTTCCCTCCCTACCTCGCTCTATCTTTAGTACTTTTACACTTGGTGCACATGGGCAACAATGATACATTTGTCACTTGGTCACAACCGGAGTTGGAGGGCAAAAAGTATTTTATACTACAATTCTCCAACAACTACACACAACCCCACCCCCAGCAATTGCTTGCACAACGACTGCGTGGCACTCTACAGCATGTTGATCTCACCCAACAGGATGTTGCTCGTCGGCTATGTGATATCACTGCTCTGGATGAGATGGAGACACTTGCCGTGTTGAGGAATGCTCAAGCCCAGTACCTTGACAATAATAGCCATGTGGAAATGGAGGAAGAAGTGTTCAACTTGGTCGTGTACGCGAATGTCACAGGAGTTTTATTACAACATTTTCAACGCATAAAATTGCGGGTGCTGATTGTCACGAGTGAGAATGAACATCTCAAGCAGGACTTTCGTTATGTGCAGTGGAAGACGGTAAGTTAGTGCATTAAAGTAGTTTTTAATGAGACCCCTTAAAGGTTAAGTGTGTGCCCAGCACTCTTCCAGCATTTGCCCTTGCCAAATGTTGTTGTACTCCCAACGTCATGCTTCTCAGCATGAGCTAACGAGATACGTACCCATGCATATAGGTCGAAGTCATCCGCTAACTGAGAACTCTTATACTGTATGCAATAAGCACAATGCGGACGGCATCTTTCGTCGAGTGAGCTTGAGTTCAAACTATGAAATTTTCCATCACCAAATCGCAAAGTAGCTGCGGTAAACCCACAAAAGCTTAACGAATTCCATCTTTGAGACCTTGGATGGACGGCTTGATAGTGTATACCTTAACCTTCACGTGGCCTTAAAAAGAAGAAGTTGAAAGGTGTTCAATCACAAGATTTCGGTGGCCAATTTTGATCACTCTTCGGGAGATGGTTGGTTTCGTTGTTTGTGTGCCACGTAGCGCCAACTTGTTAAAGTAATCGTTGTCTTAACCAATATCAGCCAATACCGGTCATACAAATTCATATATCGATAGCGCAACTCATTCACTGCAACAGTTGCTCCAGCCTCATTTTTGAAAAAGTAAGGTTCAATAACCCCATCGGACCATAAACCACACCAAGCAATTACACGTTGACGATGGAGAGGCTGTTCAGCAATAAATCTTGAGTTTTCTGTGCCCCAAATGCGAGAGTATGCCCGTTATTCAGTCCCTGGTTTGATTTTCGGTGTACCTATTGGTTCTGTTGATCTAAGCAAAAAACCACCTATGTACTGAATTTCAAGTAAATCGAACGACTTCTCTAAACCAGAAACCTTCGCAAAAACCGGTCGGCCGGTAACTCTTCGAGAAGACTCGGTCCTTACAAACGGAAATGAGGATATTTAAAAACGGGCAATGGATTTTTATATATAAAATTGTAAACACCAAGTGAAACCATGTACCTCTCCACCTCATCTTTTCAATAGCGTAGCGGTCTTTCACTCCTCTTTCTCTGCCTCCACTAGCTGGTGTTTCATCGAAAGTTTTAAGAGCTGGAGAGTTTTCCTCCATCCCGACGTTGTGACCCAGCCCCGTTGGATTAGCTGCTGTCTCTAACATCGCTTAAATACTCATATATAAATGTCCCCATCCGTAAAGCCCCTCGGCTGGGAATGTCAATCCCATTCAACTTTCTAACTTTATACAACTTTGTCTTACCTCCAGATCGAAAATGACACCAACGAGTTGGCCAATACACCATTTCGTCTGAGCGTAGTAGAGTCACGAATGCTCACATTCCACTTTCGCGAAAATTTCAACGAATCCTGCGTGCACGTATGCCACTGGCAGATACAGTTCCCCATCATACGCAAAGAGGAGCCAAAATGTGAACAGCTGCCAATAGCAAACTCGCAAGTTATAATACGAGGACTCAAACCATCCGAACGTTATCGTGTGAACTTCTTCAGCTGTGAATCGCAAACATTCTATGGGCAAGTGGATAAGCAAACATTGCCGGATCGTGAGTATATGGCTTCGCACTTTCCGAAGCATTATTTAAAAACACTAACTTTTTAGCGCCTGGAACTATCAGCAATCAACGTATAATACGGCACAATGGGCTAAAATTGGTCTGGGATCCACCTTTACAGCCGAACGGCAAGATACACCACTACAATATACTCTGGACATTGGGTAATGTTACACATGAGATCAACATTCTAGACTGTACGATATGTTCCTTTAAGGTGAGTGAAGGACGGGCATTCGACGAGGACAACTATAGTTGGAGTTTCCATTCATTGCATATATATATTTGTTGTTTCTTATTTACAGTTTCCCAATATCTCTGAGACGGCGAAAATCAATGTAACTGTACGCGTTGTAGGCGAAACTGGCGTGGGTGCACCCATTTTTATTGATTTACGCAGCATTAGCCATCATTCACTGGAGATTGAATGTCCGTCCGGCGAATCGGAGGTTTACAGTGGCATCATTATCGGTACGCTGCTCTCTGTGGTTTGTGTTGTTGTCTTCGCTTTGCTTATCATCTTTCAACGGCGACGCTATAAAGCACGCACCCAAGGCCCTACACACCTTAGCTCACCGTCTGATATGAATTTCAGCAATCTGAATAATCCAAGTATACCCAGCGAAAGTGCTGGCGGCTTAAGTGGCAGCACCTTCCAACAGGATTGTCATGAAATGCAAACTTTGATACCAAAAAGTGGCCGTTACGTCGATCTGCATGCCGCCCGTACGAAAGAGTACCAAACTACACAGCTGCCGAATGGTAATGGCAATATAGCACAGCGCGAGCTCCTCACTGTTGAGGTGCAGCCACATACACACTGTGTACAAACCGAATCCGTGCTGGATGGAGGAGGTGCGAACATGTCGCAATTGCCGCTGTGTAGTTCAACGCCGGAGAAAGGGCCACCACCAGATGGCCCACATCCGTTCTTCATACCCTTCAAGCAGACGCCGCCCAATACAGTAGCTACGGCGCTGCCCAAGCAAAATTCCTCAAGTAATCCACATGCCACAAACGGTGTTGGCGCTATCTGTAGTGCGGATGATGCGAGCGGTTTTATCATGCCGTCCCATACGTCATCAACACCACCGACAACGCTAACGCTCGGCCTGACGGGTCAGCAACGTAGCGGCAGCGTCGGTAGTAGTAGTTGCGGCGGTAGTAGTTCTGGTCCTAACGGTAGCCGTAGTAATAGCAGTAGTAATAGTAGTTGTAATAAAAAACAGTTCCATGCGAATTATTCCAAACACTCCAAATCGAATGATGTGATTTGTCTGCTCGCGGACGAGGAGGTCGCAGCGACATTAACGCCAACCAGCGAGGCGGCAGTAGCGTTGGTCCTAACTAATGGTTTCAAGGCAGCAGCAGCGGTCAAAACAGCAACAGCGATAGCACCCGGAGGAGAGCCGGCAGCTCGAAGAACGGCAACTGATGTAGTGCCCGTCGTGCAGGTGAGTTTCTGCTCCACTGTTTTGTTGCAAAATTTTAAATCTAAATAAATATTCGCTCTCCAGAAACCAGCTGCAGCGACAAGTACTAGTGCTGCGCGACATATATCCACACAACCAAATAAATTTGCATCTTTAGCTGGCTCCAGTACTAAATCGCAACGCAGCTCAACAGCGAAACTTAAAAGATCTGCAGCGAGTAGTAAGCCAAATAAATCGGCTGCGCTTAGCTGCGGCAACAATTCCATAGTTCCTGCCATTGGTTCGAGCAGTGTCGGTGCGGCTGCTCCCACGCCGAATCCCTGGTCTACAACGATACCACAATTCATAGCAACAACAGCGTCCTCATCATCATCAACACCGGCGGCCAGCAGCGCCAGCAACGCTTTTAGTGTTGCCTTTAGTGGCGTGCATCGACGCCCCAATGTAGATCCGAATGGTTGAGGGCTATGCGCCGATGTATATACACATAAATACATTCATACTTAAGTAAATTGAGAGAAAGTTATTGAAGAAAGAAAGAGAGAGAGAGAGAGAGAGAGAGAGAGATAATAGCAAAAATTGTGAATCAAGGAACACATTCAGGATAAAAATTAGTGATTAGGCGTAGTTGTGTGCGCCTCAAACGTATTGAAAATATACATACATACATACAAACATGCATACAAAGCTATACAGCGGTAAATAATTAAACATTCCAAAACCTATTAACCTATGTACATATGGATATGTGTGTGTGTGTTTATATGTACCACTAAAAGGGTATACATAAATATAAGCATATATAAATATGTACATATATGTAACTTTATATTAAAAACTAACAATAGAAATAGTAATTTTTATAGGTTTCCTTTAAATTAGTTTAACAACCGATCACACACATGCCTACTTACAAGACTCGTGCAGCGTCAAATACACACACACGCCGAACTTTTAGCTGATTTTAGCATATTTTATAAATATGTTTTTTTTTAGCTGTTACATACATACATAAGTATTCTATACAGCTCATATGCATACATACATATTTGTGAAACTCATAAATTTATGAATTTAAATACTTTACAAATCGAGCTGAATTCACAACCATTTATATACATGTGTATGTATGTATATCATACTCGAATATACATACACCAATATCCCTAGCAAAGCAGAGTTTTCGAATTTTTAACATTTTTTCGAGCTAAGTTTTTTTTTTTTTTTGAAACATTTAGTAGGTACAGATCTATATATTCACGTATGTTTTGTTGCAAGAAGGAAGGCAGTTCCACTTAATTTTTTAACCGATTTTTTTTTAGCTATCTGACTTGAGAGGATTTTTTAAACGTTGCTGGATTTTTCCTTTAATTTAAAATAAATTATTAATTTTATGAAAAGGGTTTGCCACTCCCTTACAAAGGGTGGCTTTTTGGAAATAAGTAGAAAGACCTGATGAAACACAATTCCTCTCTTATTGGCAAAAGTTGGATGCTTCTGGGTGATCCCTTGCTTCAGATGGTTTAATTGCAGATGGTACAGTTCCAAAAAAAAGAATTTGATCTTAGTTAATGGATTTTTTGCTAATCCCACCAAACACCCAACGAAAGTCTTCCCGGCAGTCAATCATGACTTTTGTAAACGTTTATACCGACTCACTACCCTTCGCCCACAAACCTTTTCCCTTTTTTGTTTCTGTAAGTGATCCACTTTCCATTACCAGTCACCATCCGCTTTAGATGTGGGTCGATATTGTTACGATGCCAATTCGGTCGTTTAGGTTTTTTCTCGTTAACGAATGTGCTAACCTTACATCGAGCTTTTTTGTGCATCTTTTATTTTAGAATTAACGGAGCGAAATTGATGAAACCAATATTGTGCATGATTGGCTATTCTGGTATCAGGGCGACAAACACGAGTCACATTTTCAGCTGCCAGCTGTACCCTCTTATAGAAGATTGTTCCATCCATATTCAGCTACACAGCCCGTATTATTTTCTTCAACAAACCTCATTTGGTATCGAATGGCTCGGAGAAGTTGCTGGTGGAGCTTCTGGTGTAGCTTAACATCAAATTTACATAGCCGTAGCAGTGTTGTAGTGATACCAAAATCAGACACTGCATTATAGAGGTAGCTCCATTTCGTGCTGTCGATGGCGGCTCCAAGCTTTGACGCATATTGAATATCTGGTCAATAGTTGATTTACCTGGTCTAAAGCCACACTGATTGGGTCGAATCAGTTCGTTGACGGTGAGCTTGAGTCTCTCACACAATACGCTCGATAGGGCATTTCATGTGACATTAATGAGGATATTCCCACTGTTTGTGGATTGGGCAGAGTACACTTAGGTTCCCATTGTCGGTCATGTTTCCTGTCCCATTCTGCTATTCTCCTATTGACATTCCATGCTTTGGAGCGTCCGCAATTAGAAAATTTAACTTAATTTTTTATTTAAATTAGTTTTCTTTAATTTATTGGATGTTAGTACGACAACAGCATTTGAATTCGAGATTTCCAAAGGCAGTACGGAATGCTAACCACTCGGCTATCGCGGTCGCCTAAGAGCCAAGAAGGAATACCCTTAATAAAATTTATCATTCAAAGCTCATAGCAATACTTCTTTGAGGGGTGCAGCAAAATGTATGTGCATATGTAAGTTTGGTTTAAGACTAATATTGGTATTTTTGATCCTTTTCATTATTTACATGAGCTCACCCTCACCCTTTAATTGAGATTTGAGGCTACTAGAGAAAGGTACACTTAGAGACGTAAAATTTTAAAAATAATTTTGAAAACAAAAATTGTGAGCGTTGTGCATCATAATTAGGAAATTAAAAACTTAGCTCGAAAAATAGTTAAAATATTACAAAGAAAAAAATCATCCCGCACTCAGATTTGAGAGTAAATATTATTTATAGAAGCCGTCAACAAATTACAGTCAACACAAGCAGCTATTTTAGGGGTTATATCCACTTGCAAAACGCAACAAATTATTTCCTTTGTTATTTCTTTTTAAAGGAATTTTATTCTATAAATTAATAAAAAAAATGTTAATAGACAGAGTTTAATATAGTTTAATAATAAACGATTCATTTAAAAAATATTGTATCCTCGTGTCTGGTGGCAAGGAAAATATTTCTGCTTCAAATTATCTGAAACTCATACATTATAATGAATATATACTGGATGATTGATGGAATGTGAAAAAAAAATTTTTTTTTTTGAAAAAAAATTATTTTTGTGAGAAGTTCTACACTTAAAGTGTATTTGAATATCGTAACTATTGGTAAAAATTTTATCTTTTTGGACATTACCTAATAAATATGTCTTAGAAGGTCGTAAGAAAACTTTGAGCCGATCGATTCAGCTGTTTCAGGGAAATTTTCCACAGCCGCTCTGAACGTTGCGAGAAAACCGCATTTAAAGCCCTATTCTGTCGAGGTAACAAAATTTAAATTGGTATTAAAATTTACCGTTCAGTAAATTTTATTACTATTTCGTATACTGAGCTCACTGTCAACCTGTAAATTTTGTTACCAGTTAAATAGGAGGTAACAAAAAATTTACTGTTTAATTTTGCGTTGTTAGTTGAGAAAAAATAAAAACCAATAAGGATAGGCATATTTTAGGCCTGGAATACATTGAAGATGAAGAAAAAAGTGGAAAATGGGGTTTGCTAAGAGGTTTGCGAGAAACAAGTGACTCTTTTTAATTTGGAAGACAGCGTTTTTATTCGCCTTTTTTTTGTCGCCTAGGCATATTTTTCAAAATTAGGTTCAAATATTTATGATTTAATAAACACATAAATAAAACTTATTTATTTTGAAGTGCACCGTCTTCCATTTCGATGTGAATATTTTTTTTTTTTACTTTATCAACTGTAATTTGGCAAGTACGAAACAAGCAGCGCTGCCCAAGTTTTTCAAACATTGTAACCATTGTTCGTCAGCTTACCAAATTCAATTTCGGGTGTTAAAAAAAGTAACAAAATTTACTTTACCGCTAACAGTGAGAATATGCCTGTAAAAATCGTTTACAAAGGCATAGCGATGACGAGACAGCTAAGGCTACTCCGCCTTGCGCTTTGCCTATTTTCGAGCGCCACAAGGCGTCCTTTATGATACGTTCACATCTCCGAGACTGTTTGTCGGATCAACTTTAGATTTTCGCAAAATATTCTCAAATACACTATATGTGCAGCCGAAAAGTTGCAAGTGGATATAACCCCTTAAGGCAAATAAAAAATAAAAAAAAATACACACTAAGGGCAGCAATGAAAATCAGCGAAAGAGCTAAGTAGAAGTAGGTGTTTGAGGATACATATAATTTGTAAAATATTTTTTTTTTTTTGGTTTTTGTTTTCCTGCCAGCAATTGAGGCTTGAAATGAAGTAAGTTTTTTTCAACATACTTTTTTTAACGTATGCATATTTTTTAATTATATTTTATATGATTTTTCTTTAAACAGTTTTAAGATAACCTTTTTATGCGAGTTCTTTTGTTTGCCTAGGCTGCAAAGGTGTTTTTTTAATTATTTTTTTTTTTTTACTTATAAGTTATATAATTATTTTGCTTAAGTTCTTAATGGTTAGCATTTCCATATTTTATAGTGTGAGGTATTTTAGGGAATCTTATAAGTTAATGTTAAATAAAAAGATTTTCGTTCCATACAAATATGACAGTCATCGAGAAACAACAGCACCAAAATTTCCGAATCATATAGCGAATTAGACGAGCACATACACATACATATATATACGAGTACATACAAATATTTATACGCATACCCGAACACACCTTTCATACAAAACAATAGTTACAGAATTTCTATGCAGTAAGTTTACGTATAAATATATATACATATATGTAAATGCACAATATTGAAATAGAAACATGCAATCGAAATATAATATAAAGGCAAGCACACAAAAATACAAATATACCTACATACATATGTACATATGTATTTGCAATGCAATAGATACACTCGTCTCCCAAAGCCTCCTTCAAACTTCAGTACATATTATTGAACCGAACTACGCTATAAAATATCAACTAAATATGATATGTAAATTAGTAACATTCAAACCCAACCAAAAACAAAAATAAAAAAATAACAAAAAAAATTTTACAACAACCTGTGCTGTACAAAAAAAAAAGAAGAAGATATGCATGTAAACAGATACGAAAAAAAAAATATTAAACTAAAAAAGTTTTAATACAATGTAATACAAAAAAAAAATAAAAAAAAAATATATTATATTTATTACACTCATGAAACAAAAAAAGAAATAGCAGTGAACATTTTATAAAAACTTCAAAAGCGCCAAAAAATTAGTTTAAGGGCTTTTAATGAGTACACACACTACTATACATACATACATAAAACACATTCACATATACAAATGAGAAATTCATATGAATGTTTGATGCAACTACAACAAGTTCCACCCAATTTTTAATATACACACATACATACATACATTTACATATATATACAGAAGAAAAGAAAATTATTCATATAAACATAAGTGCAATAACCCAAGAAATAAATTATTCAAACAAATATTTGAGAATTTTGTAATCAAAAAAAAAAAAAAAAAAAAACATAAATGGAAAATATAAAAATTATGATTTTTCACCAATACACCTCAACCGTATGCTATTTTAAATATTAT